TTTCATTTACCAGAGTTCTCAAACTCTAGCAAATATCAGAAACACCTGAAGAGCTTGAGAAACCACAGAATGTTGGGTCCCCTCCCAGAGTTTCTGATTCAGTAAATCTGGGGCAGGGCTGATAATCTGCATTTCTAACAGGTTCCCAGGAGATACTGATGTTGGGGACCTACCCACTTGGAGAACTACTCAAAGTATGAGTAAAAAGGATTAATGGAAAATGACAGAAGGGTATTTGAGAGCATATGCTTTTTTTCTCTCTGTTAAATGAGGAACATATCTCACCACCTGAACTTCCTCTGCATTTTGTTCATCATGTGCACAGGATTTAGCTTTTTAAAATACATGTGTTATGCTAAGCGAAATAAGTCAGAGAAAGACAATTATCATATGATTTCACTCATATGTGGAACTTAAGAAAAAAAACAGAGGAGCATGGGGGAGGGAGGGAAAAATAAAACAAGATGAAATCAGAGAGGGAGAAAAACCATAAGAGCCTTTTTTTTTAAGATTTTATTTATTTGTTTGACAGAGAGAGAGCACAAGCAGGGGGAGCGGCAGACAGAGGGAGAGGGAGAAGCAGTCTCCCCACCAAGCAAGGAGCATTAAATAGAGCACTTGATGTAATGAGCACTGGGTGTTATATAAAACTGATGAATCACTGAACTCTACCTCTGAAACTAATAATGCACTTTATGTTAATGGAATTTAAAATAAAATTTAAAAAATAAAATACATGTGTTAAGGAACTGACACTAGAGATTGCTCTCAGGAAGGAAGCTGTTGAATGAAAGAGACTTCCACTGTATACATTTTGGTACCACATGAATTTTATACCACATGCATGTATTTCCATATGAATAAACAAATAAATAAAAAGTAAATCCAGCAGAACCTTGGCTCAATTTAATGAGTAATCAAAGCAATAGAGAAACCCTCTGAATATATTATGTATGACTATTCTCTTCCCCATATTTAGTTCCCCAGTATTTCTTACATTATTGTAAAATTCATTCAAGCAGTTAGAAAAGATCCAAAAAAGAAAGAAGGAAAGAAAGAAAGAAAGAAAGAAAGAAAGAAAGAAAGAAAGAAAGAAAGAAAGAAAGGTGGATTAGGAAGGGAGAGAGGAATGGGAAGGAAAGGAAAGAAACATGGGCAGGTTTCATAAAGTCTGTGATCTGTGCTGAGTCAATTTCACCTCCCCGGCAGGTGGGGAGGTGGGGGACCACATCGAAGAACTAGATAAATATCAGGATGAAAAAGTACATAACAGAATATGAGGAAAGACATCAAGTGAAGGGTTAATTACCAATTGATAACATTTTAAAATACTTTATTAAGGGGATTTCCATACCACAAAGACTTAGGAGAAAAGGAAGAAAGAAAGCAAGGCAAGCTACCACCTACTTGCCGGTATCTACCTGGGACACATAAATTAGATGATAGATGATAGGTGATACACAGATAGATGATAGAGAGATAGATAAAATACATGCATTTTGAATCTTAATATATATATTTTGGTAAGCCTTGGTAACAAAGTAAAAACAAAAGTACTATTTTAGTTGTAATATGCAATGGAAAGCAGACTTTCACAGTGCAAGTTCTTCTTTGTCCAGAAGAGGGAGATATGAAACCACAAATGGCGTATAACCATACGTATAACCATTCTAACTTTTGCTTCTGATTATTTTCCGACTGAGCAGCCCCAGAAAAGTCCGGATTTGGGGCAAGCGAGCTATGGGCATTTGGCTGGATAAGCTTTGGGAGGACCGAACAGAACGCCCAGCACTCCTGGGCAGGCTTGATCCTCTGTCAGGTCCCCTTCCTTCACAACCTCGGAATCCAGATGATATTCTTCCTGTTTGCTTTCATCCTTTTCACATGAACCGCTTAGAATCCAGAATGTGGTCAGTGTTTAATGATAAATGGGGTTGTGTCATTGAAGTGTGCACAATCAGAAATATAAAAGTAGGACATTTTTGTGAAAAGAGCAGTGTTCAAGTTTCTCAGAACCTTGATAGTTTTTAAATCTTCTTGGTGGAGAAAGACAAATGCGATTACTTCTATTTTATTAAAGGTGATACACTCATTAGTTCCTTGTGTACATTTCATTTGAAGTTCCTTGAATCGATAAATCCTCCTTAAAGAACCATCAGGGCCTGTAGGGGTCCAGTTATATTTTCACATGTGGCATGTCCCATGCCAGTGGAGTCTGGGTCCTAACTTGTTTCACGTTATCCAGACAATTCAAGGAAGAGGAGAGACAAACGGCCAATAAACATGTGTAAACATATTCATCCTTGCTAGTAATCAGGGAAATGCAAATTGAAATGAAAAGGAGATACCATTTTAGACTCATCATATTGGCGGAAATTTAAAAGTCACATTTGAATGTGTAGGAAAATGGGCACCTTCATGCACTGCTGGGGGAGTTTAAATTGGCATAGCCACATTGGAGAGCAATTTAGCACATATAATAAAGTTAATGATGCATACACCCTGTAATCCACCAATTCCACTCCCCTTAAGTTGAAAACCCGGCTGCACGTTAGACTCATTATCGCAGTGGGTTGTCAACTCACCACCCTATGAGAAACTCTGGCACATGTGCACAAGGAAACAAATACAAAAATATTCACAGCAACATTGTTTATTACAGCATAAAAAATGGAAACAACATGAATGTTCATCAACAGATGAATAGTGAACTAAAACACGTGGGATAGTCATTCAATAGGAAACTAAAGAAACTATGGGGGTGCCTGGGTGGCTCTGACTCTTGATCTCAGCTCAGGTCATGATCTCGGGGTCATGAGACTGAGCCCCGAGTCAGGCTCCACCCTAGATGTAGAGCCTGCTTAAGATTCTCCTCTCTCTCTCTCTCTCTCTCTCGCCCTGTACCCACCCCCAACTCCCCACGCCTGCTCGCACTCTTTCTCAAAAAAAAAAAAAGAAAAGAGAGAAACTACAAACTACAGGTGCATGGAAAAACATGACTGAATCTCTCAAATATAATTTTGAGAAGCAATACTCAAAGAGCACATGCAGTGCAATTGCACATTGCAGTTAAAATGAATGACTGAAGCCTATATATAAATCTTAGATTAGTTTTCTATGCCTGCTATAAAAAATTACCAAAGACTGAATGGCTTAAAATAACACAAATTTATTATCTTACATTTTTGGAGATAAGAAATCTGAAATGGGATTCACTAGTCTAAAATCAAGGTGTCAGCAGGGCTGGGTTCCTTTCTGAAGGCTGAATGGGAGGATCTGTTTCCTGTATTTATTTGCTTATTCTCTATGCTTTCTCTACACCTGGAAGAGTTCATCATTTAAAATAAAGTGATTATTGGGGCGCCTGGGTGGCTCAGTTGTTAAGCATCTGCCTTCGGCTCAGGTCATGATCCGAGGGTCCTGGGATCGAGCCCCACATCAGGCTCCCCACTCAGCAGGGAGTCTGCTTCTCCCTCTCCCACTCCCCCAGCTTGTGTTCCTGCTTTAGCTGTCTTTCTCTGTCAAATAAATAAATAAAATTTTTAAAAAAATAAAGTGATTACAGGGCTACCTGTCTGGCTCATTCAGTAGAGAATTTGACTCGTCTCAGGATTGTGGGTTCAAGCCCCATGTTAGGTGTAGAGATTACTAAAAAACTAATAATAATTAAAAATAAATGAAATAAAATAGAATGATGGCAAGCATCCCCATGACACTATCTCAGTGAGATGCTCGTGCAAACTGACCAATCCCGTGGAAATTTTATGTCAGTAAACTTAACTGTTTTATCCCCCATGTTCTAACAGAAAACACACAGGACTTGGAGCCCAGAGGTCTGTGTTCAAGTCCCAAGGACCCCCTACTATCTATCCAGCTATATACAAGTCCCTTCACCTCTTGCTTTTCTGTTACAAGGTAGATTTAACAGTCAGAAGAGACAATGCATATGAAAGCCCTTGAAAACGTTGAAACTAGCTGCCCATTAGAAAGTAAACTGATAAACAAATAGCTTCAGAGTTCCTGGTGCCACCCCAGACCCCGCAATTCGCTCAATGAGTAACCCCCCAGGGTTGTGTCTGTTAGCACTCATTGTGCTACAGATGCCAGAAAACCCAACTCAAGCCTGCTTCAAGAACACCACTGCCACAGGGGAACTTGCTGGGTCACAGGAACAAAAGTCCAGCAATTTGGGTGAAGTCAGGTACAAATTGGCTTACAGGTTTAAACCATGGCACCTGGTACTGCGGTATCTCTCAGTTCTGTGTGTGTCTGAGCTTCATCTTCAGAACGGATCTCCTGAATCATTCTCAAACCACTGAACCCTGCAGAAGAAAAAGTTTCTCTTCCTCTCTCTTTCCAGAAAAATACAAGCTTCCAGGAAACGTCTGCCTCCTCTCATCACTAGATCTCTGGCATCTACATCAATGCCTGCACGTGGAATTTGCTCAGGAGAACTTTACTGAGTTACAAATAAATAAACCTCAATAATGTTAAATAAGTTAACCTTCATTCTTCTGCCTTTCTTTCATTTTTAATTTATATTTAAAGATAAATGTCTGTCCCATGCACATAAGCATGGTATATATACCATGTATGTACCATGTATACTTATGTATAATGCTGAAATTATCATCCATAAACTCATCACTCAGAATATGCTACATCTACAATACGCTTCCCTTTCTTTTTTTTTTTTTTTCAATTTCAAAAAGCATTATTTACTACAGTGTTGTTGGTTTGTTTCTAGGCAGTTACATGGATCACCCATGCTCACTAAATTCATTATAATGGTGAACAAAACACCTAGGGACAGAATAGCAAGCCCAACTTACAGTCCCCCACACAAGCTAAAATTCATGTCATTGAACTAGGAGTGACTGCAACTGATCAGGAGCCGAAAGAGGACAGGAAAATTTAGGAAGAAGTGCTCTTTCCCTCAGAGCTTGGAAGGCTTCTCTGTAGCCTACGCCAACAAGTCTGGGGAAAAAAGACTAACACTTTCAATATTTAAGCTTTTTGGGCACTTCCCATGGGAAGCTGTCCCTACCAAAGTGGCCATAGGCTGCCGTCCTCTGATAAATTGGCTTCTTCAGATCCAGATCCCTGACAATGACCCCAGGGCGGAGGTCAAAATTCTTCTTCACAATCTCTAATAGCTCTCTCTCACTCTTCTGAGAGGTGCCATAATGGAAAATGGAGATAGACAATGGATGAGAAACTCCAATAGCATAAGAGACCTGAACAAGAACCCTTCTGCACAGACCCCCTTTAACAAGGGATTTTGCCACCTAACGAGCAGCATAAGCAGCTGAACGGTCCACCTTGGTATAATCTTTTCCTGAAAAGGCACCTCCTCCATGAGCTCCCCAACCGCCACAAGTGTCCACAATGATTCTCCGGCCAGTCAAACCAGCATCACCCTGAGGCCCACCAATAACAAATCTGCCACTTGGCTGTAGACAATAGATTGTATCCTCATCAAGATATTTTGCAGGGACAACTGCTTTGATGACTTTCTCCTTTAGGGCATCCCTCATCTCATCAAGGCAAACCTCTTCATCATGCTGAACAGATATAACAATTGTGTGGACTCTGATGGGAAGCACAGCACCTCGATCCTGCATGCACTGCACAGTCACTTGAGGTTTAGAATCTGGACGTAACCAAGGCAAAGTGCCATTGCGGCGTAGTTCGGCTGGTTTTGCATTGAGCTTGTGTACTAAGACAATAGTTAAAGGCATACGTTCCTCAGTTTCATCAGTGCATAACCAAACATCAAACCCTGGTCCCCTGCACCAATGTGTTCCTCGTTCCGGTCAAGATTAACACCTTGAGCAATATCTGGTGACTGTTCCTCCAAGGCTACCAGCACATTACAAGTCTTGTAGTCAAACCCTTTGGAAGAATCATCATATCCAATGTATTTAATGGTTTCACGAACCACTTTCTGGTAGTCAACAGCAGCTCTGGACGTAATTTCCCCAGCAAGAAGGATCATTCCAGTTTTAGCCACAGTTTCACAAGCCCCTTTGGCATCAGGGTCCTGCTGAAGGTGGGCATCAAGCACAGCATCACTGATCTGGTCACAGATCTTATCTGGGTGGCCTTCCTCCACAGACTCTGAGGTGAAGAGGAACGTGCCCTCCTCGATGAACGCCTCGTGAAAGCCGTTGAGTTGCCCGTTCACGTTGGTGTTCGTAGCGGTGAGTGTTAAGTGGCACTGAAGAAAAAGGGGAGCGGCGAGGCCACGCCTGCGAAATGCACAAGCAGAAGACTGCATCCTACTCAGCTCGGGCGGGCGGCGCAGAGCGAGCGACTACGCTTCCCTTTCTGATGCCTGTTTCCTCCTCTCAGAAGTGACCACAACCCTGAATTTTATCATTTTGTTGTCTTTTTTTTTAAGTAGGCTCCATGCCCAGCGTGGAGCGCAACGCGGGCCTCGAACTCACCACGCTGAGATCAAGACCTGAGCTAAGACCAAGAGTCAGACGCTTACCCAACTGAGCCACCGAGGCACCCCTATTTTGTTATCTTTTTTAAAATTATATATATGCCTAAAAATATATTATCGATTGTACATGTTTTTGAGCTTTCTAAAAGTGGTTTTATTTTGCATGTAGTCCTCCAGGATTCGTTTCTGTTCCTGTTGTCGCTTTTACTCAATATCCTGTTCCTGAGAATCATCTCTGCTGTTAAGTAGAACTGTGGTTTGTTTTTCACTTCTGTATTAAATTCTATCGCATAACTAGATCAAAATCTATTTATGCTCTCTCCGGCCAGGGGACATTTGCCTTATTTCTAGTTTGGGGTTAGGGCAAACAGGGATGCTGTGAACATTCTTGGATGTGATGCTCATAAGCAGGAGTTTTTTTGGACCCTGGTACCTCTGTGGTATTATCACAGAGAGTGACAAGGAATTCGATTGTCAGATTCCCAATTTCTACATACATTCTTCCCTGAATTCATTTGCCTGAAGAACATGACTGTTCTGGGGGTTCGGTTTCGCGGGTACCACTTACCTTTTCACAGTTGCCCTCCAGCCAAAGGTGCACTGCTCTCATTCAGAATCTGGTGCATTGGTGCACCCCCAGGGCACTGGTCAGTCACGTAAAAACCTCTGGCCAAATGGGGGGCCACCCAAAGCACAGGTGCCACGGCTGAGGAAGCAGATGACTCTAATGACTGGGGAGCAGCTGACAGATTATTAAATGTTCTGCTGATCACAAAACTGTCAGACAATTAAAGAATTCAAAGAAAATCCCATTTCATTCCCATACACCTATTTATGTGAAAAAGTTTTCTCAGCCTTTCCATTTATCATAAACAAAAGAAAGATGGAGAGAGAATCCATGCTACCTCCTGTCTTATTTTAGAAATAAGTAAAGATCAGGGTGCCTGGCTGGCTCAGTTGTTAAGCGTCTGCCTTCGGCTCAGGTCATGATCCCCGGGTTCTGGGATCGAGCCCCGCCTTGGGCTTCCTGCTCGGCGGGAAGCCTGCTTCTCCCTCTCCCACTCCCGCTGCTTGTGTTCCCTCTCTTGCTGTCTCTGTCTCTGTCAAATAAATAAATAAATTCTTTAAAAAAAAAAAAGTAAAGATCATCCAAAGAAATATGAACTAATTGGGAAATTAAAGCTCCATCCATTTTCCTAAAAGTTGCATCTCCAGTAAAATTTTACCTTTTATGTTTAATCATTACTTGGCAAGATTTGTAATATGTTGTTTGATTGTGTAATACTAATAATTTTAATAATAACTCAAGACAATATTTTCTATTTTTTTATTTATTTTATTATTTTTTTATTTTTTAAAGATTTTATTTATTTGACAGAGAGAGACATGGCGAGAGAGGGAACACAAGCAGAGGGAGTGGGAGAGGGAGAAGCAGGCTTCCCTTGGAGCAGGGAGCCCGATGTGGGACTCGATCCCAGGACTCTGGGATCATGACCTGAGCCAAAGGCAGACGCTTAATGACTGAGCCACCCAGGCGCCCTCAAGACAATATTTTCTAACACTTAAGAGTCCTGCGGTCAAAAGAAAGAAAATAAATTTTAATAAATTAAAACTTATTTTATGTATACTTTTATCACATGGATTTATGACAAAAGAACACTTAGGACAAGAAAGCATTTTCAAACATAAAATATATTTTGTTAAGATAAAATTCTATGGGGGCGCCTGGGTGGCTCAGTTGGTTAAGCGACTGCCTTCGGCTCGGGTCATGATCCTGGAGTCCCGGAATCGAGTCCCACATCAGGCTCCCTGCTCAGGAGGGAGTCTGCTTCTCCCTCTGACCCTCCCCCCTTTCATGTGCTCTCTCTCTCCATCTCTCATTCTCGCTCTTTCAAATAAATAAATAAATAAATAAAATCTTTTAAAAAAAAATTCTGTGGGGAAAGTAGAATGGAAATAGGGATTCAAAGAGATAAAAGAATAATGTAAAATTCCTGTCTATTACAAAGAGCTCATCCAGGTGCCTGGGTGGTTCAGCTGGTGAAGCATCTGCCTTCAGCTCAGGTCATGATCCCTGGGTCCTGGGATCAAGCCCCACATCAGGCTCCCTGCTTGGCGGGAGGCCTGCTTCTCTGTCCCCCTCTGCCCCTCCCCCCACCCCTGCTTGTGCTCTCTCTCTCTCAAATAAATAAATAAAATCTTAAAAAAAAAGAGCTCATCCAAGGACTTATTTATTTATTTACCAAATCACTATGGTAGTTAGATTCCTTTGGATGCATTTTATTTTGGGTTGGTTTTTTTTTTTTTTTGGAGTATGCTTGACATACAAGGTTATATTAGTTTCAGGTGTACAACACGGAGATTTGACCCATTAGATATATTTTAAAATATGAAATAACATGGGGCGCCTGGGTGGCTCAGTCGCTAAGCGTCTGCCTTCAGCTCAGGTCATGATCCCAGGGTCCTGGGATTGAGCCCCACATCGGGCTCCCTGCTCGGTGGGAGGCCTGCTTCTCCCTCTCCCACTCCCCCTGCTTGTGTTCCCTCTCTCGCTGTCTGTCTCTTTGTCAAATAAATAAATAAAATCTTTTAAAAAAATAAAATAAAATATGAAATAACAGTCTTAATATACCAATACTTAAAATATGATAGCATTTATTGTTTGAACTGTTTGCACATAGGATAAAACATTTTAGATATCAATCCAAAAATGTTCAGAGGGGTAGAGAGTTTTACAAGATTACCTTAGTGGGCACAGAAGCAAAAATTCTGAAGACTGCTGCTCTAGGGTAGAATTGCTGGGTCTTAAGGTATTGAAAGTATTAGTCGTTATGGGATAAAGTCAAGTTATTTCGCAAGATGATTGTAACAATTTACACTCTCTCCAGAAATCCATTTGCTTTGCTAAAGTCACTTGAATTTGCTAATGAGTTAGCTGAATTTCCCAGGAGTAGGAAAACATTTCTTCTTGCCAACTCTTTAGTGTTCATGGAGCCCTGTTCCTTGGTTAATGCCAAAGGCAAGATCTCCGTCAATTTTGACCTTCATGTATTCACCAAGTGTTTTTCAACACTCTGGCTTTAGTTTATACCACTCCCTCTCCCTAGGATGCCCTCTCCACCCAAATGACAGCAGTTTATCACCCATGCTTCTGGTCTGAGCTTAAATGTCATTTCTTTGAAAAGTCTTTCCACAACCATGCTCCCTAAAGTTTCCTAATTCTCCACCACAGACCCCTGTAGAGTTTATATGAGTTATAGGAATAATGTATTTGCTACTTTGCTCATATATCGTCTATCTCTTGCACTGGATTGTAAGCTCCTTGAAGGCAAGGACTGTATCTGTTTTATTCACCTATACATGCCCCAGCATTTAATATAGTTCCTAATACATAGTGAAATCTTCATAAATATCTACTAAATAAACAAAAGGACGAATGACTTTTTTCAGGCTGTAACAGACGACATCCTTAATCCAGTCATTGGTGGATTTGAGCAGGATGTGACAGTTGTTTCCATGAATAAAAAGGTTATTCAGGCTTTTATGCTTCATTTCCATTTTGACCTGTTAAAAAAAATTCTAAAACACCCCTCATATGACCACACCTCCTCCTTTTTAAATTCCTTTTTCCTCCTCCCTCCTCTTTAAAATCCCTTCTTTTTTTTTTTATTCCCTCGGTAATACATTCAATTCTAAGAAGATGAATAGAGGTGCCTGGGTGGCTCAGTCTTTAAGCATCTGCCTTCGGCTCAGGTCATGATCCCAGGGTCCTGGGATGGAGCCCCGCATCGGGCTCCCTGCTCTGTGGGAAGCCTGCTTCTCCCTCTCCCACTCCCCCTGCTTGTGTTCCCTGTCTTGCTGTCTCTCTCTCTCTCTGCCAAATAAATAAATAAAATATTTAAAAAAAAGAAGAAGAAGATGAATAAATTTGGTAATTTTGCAAATGAAAGAAGAACCTTTCTCTTTGATATTCCCCCAGTCTCCAGCTCTAAGTTTACAGGTGGACTTGGACTCTCAGGGATTATACACACAATCAATAGTGATGGAGTTCAGGATGTGCGATGCCAAAATATGGCATTTTGGCATACTAAATATTTTAAGCTGAGGGAAGTTGAAAAAAGGCAAGGGCTGGAAAGATTTTCTGATCTTCCCATAAAGCAGACCATTAGACTTTCATATGAGAGACTCCCTCCCCTTACCAGGATCCTTATCCCCCAAAAAGGAGAGGAATCTGAAGGAACAGGGTGGCTCAGTTAATTAAGCAGCCAACTCTTGATTTTGGCTCAGGTCGTGATCTCAGGGTCATGAGATCGAGGCCCCACATCAAGCCCTTGTTGGGCTCCACGCTCAGTGGGGAGTCTGCTCTGCCCCTCCCCCAATCTTTGCTTTTTCTCTAAAATAAATAAATAAATCTTTTTTAAAAGTGCCCAGGTCTTATTTTCCTTATGAAGGCTTCCATGTCACACAAAACTTACTTTAAGTAGATTTGTAGGCTTTTCTCTTATTAATCTGTCTTTTGGTACAGAGCTCTAGCTAAGAACCTAAAGGGGTGGACGGAAAGGATTTTTTCCCCTCCCCTTCAATAGCTAAGATAAATGGTCATCAAGTCCTCTGCTATCAGACAACACTTCCCCTGTCTGTAATACAAGTTTCTTAAGTGTGCACTGTCATCCTAAGCCCACATTTTATTTATTTTAAAAAGATTTTCTTTTTAAGTAATCTCTATACTTGACATGGGGCTTGAACCCACAACGCTGAGATCAAGAGTCATGCACTCTACTGACTGAGCCAGCCAGATGCCCTGCTAAGACCACCTTAAAAAAAAAAAAAAATTATTCA